CTTCGCCAATTGAATTGGAGATAGATAGACAGCCCTGTATGCAAGTAGAATGAATGCAGAAGATAAAGACCCCACAAGTTGAAACGTTCGCCGCAGACCTAAAACTAGGTGGTAGGAGGCATTGTATAGGGGCCGTAATGATCGCCTATACTATTTCTGGATCTCCTTGTTAAAACTAGCAGAATATGCCCCAAGCCCTATTCTAATCACTAAGGCAACTACATTAAACTTACAAAGGGATGGTAACACCCAAGAAGATGAAAGTACATTGCGGGCAGAACGAAGCCCATCGGTAAGCCTCTTTGAAAGATATGCTTGGAGATCATATGGACAAGAGAAAGCATTTTCACGGCATAGCCAAGATGGTCAACAGGCTCCAAGACCTAGCAGAAAGCAGGCAAACCCTAAACCCACACCCTAAATCCTAAACCCTAAACCCTAGACCAGAATGAGGAGAAGGGACCAAGCAACTTGACTAAAGGACAGGTGTTAGAATAGGAGCCCACAGCCCCAAACCCTGCCCCGCACCCTAAACCCTAAACCGTACAGGAGTGCCTCGGGCTTCCCTAAACTCTAAACCTTAAACCACCCTAAACCCTAACCCTAACCCTAACCCTAAACCCTAAAGCCTAAACCCTAAACCCGACTGTAGGGCCTTAGGCAGGCCAAGCCTTGAAGCCTGAAACCTCAGACCCTAAAACTAGAAGCCACAAAACCTCAAACCCTAGACCCTCAACCCTAGACCCTAAATTGCTAAACCCAAAACCCAAAACCCTAAACCCTAGACTCTAAGCTTCAAGCCCTAAATTACTTAACCCTAAACCCAAGACCGCAAACTCTAAACCCTAAACCCTAAACCCTAAACCCTGAACCCTAAACCCTAAACCCTAAACCCTAAACCCTAAACCCTAAACCCTAAAACCCTACGCCCTAGACCCTAGACTCTAAACTACTAAACCCCAAAGCCCAAGCCCTCACGCACCAGGAAGCCCAGCGGGTCGCCTCGGCGGTGCCGGCGAAGAGCAAATCCAGGTCGCCTTAGGGTTTAGGGTTTAGGGTTTAGGGTTTAGGGTTTAGGGTTTAGGGTTTAGGGTTTAGGGTTTAGGGTTTAGGGGATTACCTTCGGCTCCTGGGTTCAAGGGGTTCAGGGTTTAAGGGTTAAGGGTTGGGGTTTGGGATTTAGGGTTTAGGGTTTACGGTTTAAGGGTTTTCCTGGTTTGGCATTGAAAGCGCGGATTATCGAGGCGGAGGCAATCTGTGCCTCGTGCAGACTTGGGTCTTACGCATGGTGGTTCTGGAGGAAAGCAGGTTTTTTGGTGTGCCCTTGTGGTGTCGAGGCGCAGTGTGCGGGTGGCATAGCCGAGCTGCAGCATCTTCGGCAGGAGGTGGAAAGGCTTCGCGACGAGCTGAAGGCACCGTGGTTTCAAGATGTTTCAAGAATTGCGAGATTTGCTCCGACAGCTCAACATCAAAGGCAAGGAGCATCGTGGTGGAGGCCAGCGATTGCTCGGGGGGTGAGGGGCGTGTGGGATCGTGTGGGCTGCTTGGGAGGGAGCCCAGAGCGCTTGGTTGGGGGACGGTATGTGGAGGCAGCCGCCGACTCGGCGGCGGTGTGCTGCCTCTTCCCTTCCATCTAAGGGTTTAGGGTTCAGGGCCTTAGGAGTACCTTCGGCACCTGGGTTTAATGGGTCTAGGGTTTAAGGGTTAAGGGGTTGGGGTTTAGGATTTACGCTTTAGGGTTTAGGGTGTAGGGGCTTGCATAGTTCCTATGCTATTTGGGGGGTTCCTTTAAAGGGTTCCAAAAAGGGTTCTATAAGGGCTACTATAAGGGTTTAGGGTTTAGGGGATTACCTTCGGTTCCTGGGTATAAGGGGTTTACGGTTTAGGGTGAGGCTTTAAGGTTATCGAACAATACACCCGACACCCTATTCAAATTGTTGGGGCCCCTGTATTAAGTATTGGGAGCTTTGGGCTTGAGAATGTCGAGGGTTAATGAGGATGTAGAAGGATGCTGAATATCAGCATTCATTTCTTCTTATACGGACCATCGGGGTAGGCACATCCCCGCAGCCATCAGCTTTAAAGCCATCAACATCCCTGCCTAAACCCCAAGGCCTTAAACCTGAAACAAGCGGAGCCGAACAGAGGGTTCTCTAATTTAGGGCGGTTTAGGGTTTAGGGTTAATTAGTGCGCCTGATATCAGAATACTTTCGCACACCCCCAAGCCCTACTGAATTTCTACAGATTCTACAGTGAGCATGGGGAAGGGTAAGAAGCGTAAGAACCCTGTACAGAACCCTTCTGTTTTGATTAAAGCCTTTCTGACGTGGACACGTTGTTGAAACTCTTTAAAACCTATAACACCAGATCCATACCCTCATAAGAACTCTTAGGAGGACCCTATTCTAGGTCGCTGCAGCGGTTATTGTATCAAGACGAGGGTTGTGCCCGGGTGTCAGGTCGTTGGCACCGGGCGCTCTCGCAAAGTCGCAGGCCACCTGGTGTTTCGTGATTTGTATCTGTGCTTTTGGGGGGTTTAGGGTTTAAGGGCTTCGGGGTTTGGAGCTCTTCAGCGGTATGGTAGGGCTCGGTGTTGTAATAGGGTTTTGGGATGTGTCTAGAGCCTGGGGTGTTCAAAGACCTACTATATACCTGATTGCCCATGAACCTGCTTTCTTCAAGCATTAGCAGTCATCAATCATTGCCACCACCATCATCATTGCCAGTGGCACCAGCATCATTTTCCTTCCGATGATTATTGCTCTGGCCATTCAATTAATGTGCATGTGCGTCCTCACACTGAATGTAAAAGTTCCAGACAACCCCACAGTGGCTTTATGAGGGTTTTGGATGGGTTGATACCTGGCTGATAATTTGCATTTCGGGAGTGGTGCTTCACGGTTGTGTGTCCGAGGAACCACACCGAGAACCTTAAACCTCAACACTAACACCACATCTGGTCATAGCCCCTAAACCCTAAACCTTAAACCCTAGCCCTAAACCCTATACCCTAA